AGCCAGGGCAGAAGGTAGTACTTTTTATATGAAATGGAATTTTTTTTAAATGGGCCAGGCTCATGTCTTTCACTTTAAATTTTTTTAATGTTTTCATTTACCTTTTTATTTGGCAGGATTGATGTTTTAGGCCACAAATTTGCTTTCAACGGGCATATTTTCTTGCTAATTATTAACCTTCTTTATTACTTATTAACTTTAGAAGCACTGTAAAAATACTGTTGGATGCAATTGCCTGGTTGAAAATCTTTGAACTCCATTCCTTTTTTTGTTAGACTAACGAAAGGTGGGTTTCTAAATCAATGGATGGTATCAATCATACGTAAAAAACCAAGCTATGTGTTTTATAATGATCAGTACATTGCTGCGTTCATTTTTGGCTGTGTCATTGTTAATTTTCATTTTGATCACATTTGTACTATTGCTTCTTTCCCGGTGCTTTTCATACACTTGATAAATCACAGTAAAGTGGACTGAGCATCCACTGTGCACATTCTTAGCCAGTGCTGGGTCCAGGAGGGGATCCAGAAGAGATCACAGCCCACGGCTCTGGCCAGAGGACCCCCCGGGAACATCCTATCCCATCTACAGTAAACCCAAAATAAATAAGCACCAGGCCCTCCTCCACCTTCCACCCCTGGTTCCAGCTTTTTCGTTACTCCTCCACTCCATATGTCCCTCCCTTTCCTTCTCTCGTCCTCCCTGGAACAAAACATTAGCCAGGGTGTTTACCATGAGGGTTCTTGGCATTTGGAGGAAATGTGGGATTAAGCACCTTTCCTTTCCCAAAAGAGAGTGTTAAAGGATGATTCCTCAGCAACTCCATAATGAGTGTGGAATATTTCCCTCTAGGCTGGAGATGGTGGTAATAATTAAATAGCTTTTAAATAATGAAAATAGCTTTTCCTTCCCCACAGCTGATGTATTAACTCTCTGAAACTGACTTTAAAATATCTATCTTGGTTAGACAATACAGTGAAGAGACCTATGCAATCACTTAAAAGATATTTGTATGAGAAAGTACTACATGCTTATGTAAGAAGAAGACTGAATGTGCAGAGAAATGTAAAGTGAAAAAGGAAACCTACATTGGCCTTCACTCTCCTTTCCCATCCCCCCGCTGTCTCTCGTACATCATTCCAGAAGACTTCTGTGTTGTACAAGGACATAAATTTCCTTCTTAAAAACAGATACAAATGCTACCATATTGAATATACTATTCTGTAATTTCCTTTTTTACATTTAACATCATACCTTGAACTTCTTTCCAAGTCAGCACATATAGATATGCCTGCTTTTCTTTTTCTTTCTTTTTTTTTTTTTAAGATTTTGTTTCTTTATTTTTAGAAACTGGGGAAGGGAGGGAAAGAAGGAGGGAGAGAAACATCTATTGGTTGCCTCTTGCACACGCCCTGACTGGAAACTGAACCCACAACCAGGCATGTTCCCTGACCGGGAGTCAAACCAGGTGACCTGTTGCTTTGTGGGACAATGCCCAGCCCACTGACCCACATCAGTCAAGGATGCCTTCTTTTTAACAGCCGCATACTACTTTATCATTTGAATGGACTATAACGTCCTGTAGTTTATTTAACTACTCACCTACTAACGAACATTTGGGTTTTTCCAATGGCTAATAATGTACAAATGGAGCCCTGGAAATTTGAGAGAATATTGGGGATAGGAAGCATGATTCCTGTAAGTGGACCGTTGGGAGGGATGTTGAGAGAGTCCAGTCCTACTTCCGCTCCTGGTTCCCAGCCCCACAGATTAGCTACTGAAATAAAGACTCAACACCGCATTGTGGCTGCTAGTTCAATGCATGTGTCCTCAAAGGGCTTGCGTACAGATTCCATCATTCCACCAGGCTGGCTGGCTGTAGGTGATGATGAGGTTTATCGTAGAACCGATGGATTCCATAGCCATGTGCTAATCGTCACGCCTCCTTTGCTGTAAAATGGGCCTCTTGGTCTGATGTCGTGTGGACTCCCATACTGCTAAAGCAGACATTCTCCCTTGAGAATGGGGCTGGCAGGAAAGCCCTTGATTGTGGGGCTGGCAGGAAAGGCAAACCCCATATCTCAAGTAAGTATCAGTCCCAGTAAGGACAAATCGCAACCCCCCTCCGTGTAGCAGCTGGTCTCCTTAAAGCACACGGCCTGTCAGTACCTAAGTATCATATTTTGCTACTGGCAGGTTAGGTACTCAGCAACAGCAGTAGCCAGATCAGCCTTGGAGGGAGGGAACTGGTGTTGCTGGGCCATGCCTCCCCCTATCCCTGCAACCATGGCCATCCTGTTCATGGATCAATTACACGAGCACCAGGGTGGCCAAGGACAGAGCAGGCTGACACCCACCAGAAAAGACATCCTCTGTCTGGTTGCTCAGTGCTTCCTCTGCAGTAGCTGTTCTCTGGTGGGCATTCGTAGGAGGTGGGCATTGGTCGGAATTAAGTCCTCAAGCTCTGTGCCCACTCCCACAAGGATGTGTTATGTTTCTTCTCCGAATGTTCTTTCAACCTTGCTCCTTCCAGACTTAAATCAACAAGACAAACTATTTTGCCACTACCCATAGGTCCATGCTTATCCCAGGTCCTTTCTTCTTCACACGAAGTGGACCATCAAGAGCACTGCTTGGAGCTCTGCTCAGTGGGAGCTTTCCCTTTCATCGTTGTCCTTCAAGGCCTCTGCCAAGTGGGCTATGGTATGGTTGCAGACCAACTGCAACTAGTGCCAACATAATGAGCTGATCCGTCTGTGAGCTGGACTTGGGGTTTTTCTCCCCCATTATAGGAAACTCTCATGGAACCATACAGGGATGTATGGAGGAGGGATGACAGTGCAACAGAGTAGATGACATGGGAGAACAGGCCACCTCTTTTTGTAACTTGCTTGTCGCCCCCAGACCTTCTTGAGCCTGACCACAAATGTATAGTTTTCGTAGTTTGGTGGATTGCTGGTGCACCCTGGCAGCCTAATGACAGTCTGTCTTTATGACCCAATCCACAGGAGCAGCTCTGGGTCACAGAATCACATGATGTCCCAAGGTAAGGGGGCTCAGTCTCTGTTAGGGACTTAACAGGTGTCCTTGTCGGAATTAAGTCCCAAGTCACAGGACAGTGCTGCCATGCCAATGAATTTCACCCTGTCCAGCCTTATATTTCTCCCCTGCCATGGCCCAACACCCCCAAAGTCCCTGCTGGTATGTATGAGCCAGGTCTTATAATTCTTTGAGGATACTTCTCTCCTCCTGGAGCAAGAGCTGTATGCCATGCTCAGGCAGTTACAGCCTCGTGCTAGGTCAGGGCTGTGGGCTGGGAGGAGGCTGGATCGAGTCAGGAGGCCTCTGCCCCATTGAGTGATTTTCAGGTCTCCGTGTGAGAGGAAGCATTTCACCTTTGGCAAAGGGGCAGAGGCTACTTCTCCCAGCCCAGAGGGTTCAGAGAAATTTAAGGGTTAAGATTCTCAGCCTCATCCCTCTAAATGTCCCTATCCCAGGCCTCTGGGTCCCTCGCATTTCTCATCAGAGCCCTGACTTTGACAGAAGGGACCTGTTGAAGGTCTACACTGTCTCTTTTGTATCTCTGCTCCTTTTTTTTTTTTTTAATCCTCACTCAAGGATATGCTCATTGATTTTAGAAAGAGAAGAAGGAAGGGAGAGAGAGGGAGAGAGACATTAATGTGGTAAACATTGATCAGTTGCCTTCCGTATGCGTCCTGACCAGGCATGTGCCCTGAATGGGAATTGAACCTGCAGCCCTTTGACTTGCAGGATGACACTCCAAACAACTGAGCCACACCGGCCAGAGGTATCTCTACTACTCTTAAAAATTAAGTTCTGAGTCTGATTTTAGCACAGTCTATCCTGTGTCTACAGGAAATGTCTCTTTAAATAATGCCACAGTGGCCTTCTGACTCCCACAGTTGATGGGCAGCTAACTGAAACCTATCTATCATTTTCTCTTTTCTTTTCTCAATGACCTAAATGTGTTAACAAAAGCCAGCTCATTCAATAATCCCCTTAATTACCATTGCCCCATATTACTCATGTGCCACTGCTATTGCATAAGCCAACTGCACGTCATTCAAAAGCACCCCTGATTAAAGTCTTAGCAATTGTGTCCCTGCAGTCCCTCAGAGTTTCCCCGCGCCTGGGCGGGGCGCCTTTGGTCATTCCTGATGCCTCCCTCCCCTCCGCCTTCCCCTCCAGTCCATCACCATAACTCTAATAACAAAATATCTCTGAACAGGGCCTTTCTTGCCATCTTCCTTCCTCTGCCCTGGTCTGTGTTCTAGATACACACCTTCAGGTGTATCAGATTGAAGAATCTTCCTCATTTTCCTGTGTTAAGATGTTTCATCAACCTAGGAAATGTGATGTACTTTTTTTATTCACAAATAATTACTGAGTGCCTATTACGTGTGAGGCGCCATGCTAGGGATTCAACAACATCATTTTAAGTAAACGAGAATGCAAGCCCGGATATCACGGTTCTTACATTCTATTGATTGTATCTATTATACCTGTCGACAGCAGAGGACGCTGAACAATCAACTGAGTAATCCTTACTTTGTAATTACATAGTAAATACAAAAGATGCTGAAGGACACACACTGCAGCGGAGCTATCAGCCTTACGGGGGCATTGAACCAGTCTGGGGAGATCAGGGGAGACCTCCCTAGGAGGGGACATTTCATCTGAGCCTTAAAGGATGAGTTTGTATTAACTAAAAATCTTTCCCTGCTCTTCATTCTCCTTTCTTTTCCAGCCTTCTCATATCTCTCTCTGCCTTCACCAACCATCTGGGTTATAATTGCTTTTCACTTACAAGTTGTTAACAAACAGCTCACAAAGACAAGTAAGGTAATACTGTTTACAGCCTACTTCAACCAAGACAGCGCAGTTCTTAAAGGACAAACCACTTTCCTTTTATTGGATCAAAACTAGAGAAAGCTGTCTTTCACAAGTCACATTTAGCACCTTGCTTTTTATGTTTTCAGCAACTCAAGCACCCCAACCTTGTCAACCTGATTGAAGTCTTCCGGAGGAAGCGGAGGCTTCACCTGGTGTTTGAGTACTGTGACCACACGGTTCTCCATGAATTGGACAAATACCAAAGAGGGTGAGTGATCCATCCCTGACAAGCAAAACACCACAAAATACACCAGCCTTTGTGCGGGAAAATGAGCAATGACCCTTTTTCAGATCAGACAGGAGCAGCCAGTGTTTGGACAGCACACTCTGCTGCTGGGGTTGACAGAGGGGGAGACCAAAAACGCTGGGAAAGGGACCGTAACAAAGAACCATGTTCGCGAAGAAAGCAATGGCAGCATTATTAGGTTGAACTTGATTTCTTCGGTGTATTATCTTTGTATTGAAGCTCCCTGAGTCTCTAAGAAAGAAAAGGAGGGGTATTTGTTATTCTGATTAGGGAAGTGTAAGGACTTGGAGATTGAAAAGAAGATTCCAAAGACAATGGCTAATAGGAAGTTTACAGCTGAAATGAACAGGTGGCTTCATCCAAAGCAATCCGGGTGTCTGTTCTGCTGTCTTGGCCTGGACTTCTTTGGTTACAAGTGACAAAAACCCAGCTGAAGCAAGGATGGGTGAAAAAGGAATGTGTTGGTGGCTGTAGCTAGGAAGGATTGGGGTGGGGAGGTTGGGGGGTGACTTTAAAGGCTTCACCAATCTCATCACATCTCTCTAGCATAGGCAACTCTTCTATGTGCATTAGAAAAAGGCTTAGTAAGCAGGCAGAGTCTTTGTTTGGAAGAAAATGGGGGATTCCTTCCTCTGGCTGAGGGTAGCCCCTTGCCAAGGCAAGCAGAATGCAGGCTGGAGTTTGGCTCCTGCCCACTCCTCCGCCGAATGTCTTAAGGTAGAGTGTGATAGGCGGTGGCTGTTCTCTCTCTCTCAACTATTCTTTATGTTGACTTCATTCTACCTGGCAGGCAAGTGTCCCTTATAAGGTGAATTTTGGAGGGTGTGTATGTCTGTGTGTGTGTGTGCGCGCGCGCTCGTGCACGAGAGAGAGAGAGAGAGAGAGAGAGAGAGAGAGAGAGAGAGAGATGTGGGATGCAAAGAGTAAGGAAGGGAAAAAATATGATAGAAAGCATGACCACAGACTTTTATCAACCTGTGTAGCCATTCTAGAAGAAAGGAAGTTCTAGAAGAAGGTAGCATCTGCATATAAAGTACCGTGGAAGACTCTGATTGGTTCAGCTCAGGTGATGCAACTATCCTTGAGGCCAATCATTGTGACCAGAAGGAGAGGGTAGAATAATTAACAGGCCCTGGGAAATATGATTCAAAACAGGTCAGTCAAGGAAGACTTCTTGGAGGAGGTGGCCTTTGGGTTGAACAGTGAGATTTAAGAGAATTTAAGCAGTAAAGAATATTCCATCCTTTCCTTTTGCTCTGTTTCTGGGAGCCCAACCTTGGCTAGGGACAATATGCATAGTGCATTGTAAATCAGAGTGATGGAATGATGCCCCATCTTGATCACATTCATACTCAGTGGCTGGAGGCTGAGGCTCTTTTAACAATGCTGTCAAGCCTTGGCCAAGAGCTTGCTCTGTCATGTAATTGTGGTTATATATTATCTGCCTGAACCTCCAGGCAAATGGGATTAAAGTGACTTGTAGTTTGACCATGGCATAGGTTTTTCATGTTAATTTACACAACCAGAGGGAGCCAAGAAAACAGACACCTCCCTTCAGGAAGTCATTGATGTGGAGAAATTATGCATTCAAGGGAGAAAACCTTTAGTATGTTGATATTTGCTCTTTTGACAGCTTGGAAGTGACACTTCAATGAAATTTATGAGTATAAGTTACCTGTGGCTATGTACAAGGTGTTGCAGGAAGTTTGATTAATCATATTAGATTGAGTCACTTGAAAACACTGGTTAGTAGGGGTTTGAAAGCAATAAGGAGTCAGTTCTTTTTTGGCATATAGCTTGAGAAGAAAAAAAGATAGGACAAGGAGTGATTAGAGTTTGTTCGTTTTTTAATCCTAATCCGAGGATGTGTTTATTGATTTGAGAGAGAGAGGGATGCAGACAGAGAGAGAAACATCAATCTGTTGCCTCCTGTATGTGCCCCAACCTGGGATTGAACCCCCAATCTACATGTGCCCTGACTGAGAACTGAACCTGCAGCCTTTTTGTGTATAGGACCAATTGAGCCCCCAAGCCAGAGCATAGTTTTAAAAGCTGATTTTTTTTTCATCTCTACTGGCTAAAATATATTTTATATGCTCCAGAAAAGACGAACATGTTTTCCTATGGACGTGGGTTATTTGTAAGTACATTCTAGTAAAAGTGGGTCACCATAATCTGTGTGACCTTTGGCAGGTTGTCTCCAGGTGTCCCCACCTGGGAAAATGAGAGTTTAGTACCAGGTGAAGTGAAGGGGAACTTCAAGCTCTATCATGCTATGAGCTGATGATCTAATGTCCCAGAATGGTTCTTCTTTAGTTTCATATTTGATCTGTTAGATGCTGTCCACAAAGGATAATGTGCGAATGCTGGTGTTTTCCCTGCGTGGTGCCAGGCTGAGTCCTCCTTAGGTTTGCGCACTTACTGCCAGAACACCCCGTGATCACCATAGGCACTCTGCAGGATCACCCCATTCCCACCAGTTTCCCATGCTGCGGGAATAATTTGCATTCTAGGATTTAGGATGTGCTGTTTTCTCACATCTTGGGTTGTCCTACCTTTGCTACTCTCCCTAGCAAAATCCTGCTTGTCCTTCAGATATAGCTCAAATATGACCTTTGTGATACCTATCTTTACAAAAATTTTTTATTTATTGAGAGAGCGAGAAAGAAAGAAAGAGAGTGAGAGAGAGAAACATCGATTTGTTATTCTATCATTGATGCATTCAGTGGTTCTTTTCATGTGTCCTGACCTGGGATCAAACCCATAACCTTGGTGTATCAGGTCAATGCTCTAACCAACTGAGCTACCTGTCCAGGGTTCCTATGAGCAATCTTAAAGATATTGTTTGAGTTGACTAGTGATTGCATGTTTTATCTAATGACAAGACCCTCATTATTTGGAGATAGGTATGCCTAAGCTGTCACAGACTATTGACAGTAACCAGTCACATAGCTACTGTCCCTTATCCCAATATTTTACTCACCAAACACCATCTGATTATAACTTGACTTTCTTTATGGAATTGTCTACAAAGAGAGCATAAGCTGGTACTCAGGATTTCAACAGGATGAATAAATTGGCATTCGGGTTTTACATATCATGCTGTTAAATTTATTTAATGTTCACCTACCCCTTTGAAATGGATACTGCCTTAGTGCGCTCACAAAATAGTCTGTGTCTGCAAGCCTGAGACCATTGTCAAAGCGGTCAACCTGCTGGCTGCTTTTCCAAACAAAACACCACATTCTTTGAGTTGCTGTGGTGAGATGACCTTTCCCCGCTCAATTCTGCTGTTCACTTAATAGTCTTTCATATACATTTCTATTTATGTCATAATATAATCTTTAGATCTGCTATTAATAACTATAAGATTGTACATGTAGTTACATTACTATCTAACTATTCCTCCATTGTTGATATTTAGGCTATTTTCAGTGTTTGGTCTGATAAGTGTTTCTGCTATCAAACTTTCCCTGCAATAGATGTTTCTTCTTTTGCACTTTTGCCTTAGAAGCTCTCAAAAAGGGATTATTGGGTCGTATGGTTTGCCAAACTAAACCAATTTACCTTACCAGCCATGTGGTAGATTTATAGTTGTGCTATTGGTTTTTATTATTAAAATGTTTGAAGAATGAATTCCATCAAACATATAAAGCAGAAATAATGGCAACCCTACACACACTCCTTCAGAAAATACAGGAGGAAGAAACATTTCCCAAATCGTTTTATGAGGGCACTATACCCTAGTACCAAAACCAGATGAGGACATTTCAAGAAAAGAAAATGAAAGACAAATATTGCTCATGAACATAGTTGTAAAAATCTATAGCAAAATTATTATTAACAAATCAAATCCAGCAATATAATATAATATAAAAGGAATGATGTACCACTATTTCTTGATTTTATCAATTTAGATGTTATCTATAGACTTCCTATTATGATAGATAAGAATTTTGCTTTCTTACACCATTATTCCCTCTGTTTACCCTTTCTATGCCCCCAAAATCATTACATTAAAGTTTTTTTAATTCCATATTCACTGTTCCAACTGTTATAACTATGTAAATATTACTTAGAGCTGAATATTTTACCATACTAGGGTTTCCTTTTGTACTTTTTCCACAAATTAATATTTGCCTTGCCTTTTAAATTTGCTTAATATTCTTTAATCTGACCTGGCCGGCATGGCTCAGTTGGATGGATATTGTTCTGTGAAATAAAAGGTCACTTGTTTGATTCCCAGTCAGGGCACGTGCCTGGGTTGCGGACCTGGTCCTCAGCTGTGGTATGTGCGAGAGGCAGCCAATCGACGTTTCTCTAGAAGCATCCATTTTTCACTTCCTCTCTTTCTTCCTACCTTCTCCTCTCTCTGAATAAATAAATAAGATATTTAAAAATTATATTCTTTAACCCTATTACTAACTGTTCTCACTCTAATAGCATCTCAATATACTTTTCCACAGGATAATCACATCAGATAATCCATTCATTCCTTTTCTGGGGTACCTTCCTGCCTTTAGAAGCCCATTCTCCCTCTCGCTGGCTTGCTGTGCCCGGAGCCTGTTATCCAGCTGTCTTCCTGGGACTTTCTTTTGCTGTCATCCTTGGAATCCTACTGCGTTTCTCTATGGTTGGACTCACTACCTCCTGGATTTCCTGTCTTTCTCTTTCTGGGTTTACTTACTTATTTTGGCCAAGCACATCCCTCTCCAATCCTTTAAAAAAATGGCACAGTCACACAGAATTCTAGATGACAGGCATTTCTAATAATATCCCAACCCCTGAGCCTCATCTCTCCGTGGAGTCACGCAGTTGGGATCCCCTTATGTTCCTGGGGGTGAAACTAGATTCCCAAAGCAGGCAGGAAGAAGGCCATGGGGTCACGCTGGTGGAGGACTCCGGAGCACATTCCTCCCCCACCTCTTCCTACTAGTGGAAGAAGGATTCCATTGCACTCGCCCCAGAAGGAGCCCCTCTGCTGAGCTGAGAGACAACCCAGTGGGCTTCGGAGGAACGGTCGGAGCTCTCAGTGAGGCCACTGACCTGAAGACCCCAGGAAAGACCACCCAGCTACTCAGGGAATGAAGACGTGCCTTGCTGAGCCCCTCCCACCTAGGTTTGGGGCAGAAAATAAAGCGAGTGTCCTTGCTCAGTGTTCTCACTTCCTGCCTAGACTTGCACTTCTAGGTCTGGGGAGCTGACAGCTTCAGGAGTGCAAATCCCGCGAGACCTGCCCAGCTGGCTGGGAGTCCACGAGGCCCAGGCTGGATCCTGTCCAGCTCCTCTGGAGCACTGTTTACTGGGAGAGGAAATGGGGATAAGGTTTGTTTGAAGTTCAATGGCCTAACCTCATGGTGGAGGAGAACCAGGCCCAGGAATAAAGCTCAAATGCCACTTCCCTCCCAGGTTAAGGTTGAGCTTATGCATAATTCCCCTAAAGGGACAGCTTGTCTTTGAGTTAGAATCCAAACAGGGACTCTTAAAGGCAGTCAAGAATGCGAGAGAATCGGGGCCCCTTCCCTCCATCACTGTTCCAGCCCTTCCCGCTCTGCCCCGGAGCTTGGCCACGAGACCATCAACCACCAGTTGGGAAACACACACTATAAAGTGCAGTGAATTCCTTAGCCTTGCCAGCATAAGCTAGAGCTTTAAGAATGTCTGCTTTAGCCTGAAGGGTCTGGCCAGACACCCAGGCTCTTCCAAAGCTTTTAAGTTTGTTTGTCAAATATTTTCATATTTATTTAAGATGGTATAAGGCAGAGGGCATGATGATGACAACCCTCAACATGCCTGGCTCTTGAGTCACGCTCTTCTGAGCCGGACGGGTTGCTGTCTGCGCCTGGAGTGCAGCTGTTGTCCGTGATTTCCCTTCACCTCCCCCTCCAAGTTGCTGTTGCCCCCCTCTGGGTCAGGTCTCCAGTGCTCTCCGTTCCACGGAGCCTTCTTTGGTAGTTTACTCCTTTTTGGGGGAGGGCATCCTCTGGGGGGCTTCCCGAGAAAGGGTGTGTGAGAGGTTAAAGGAGAGCGAGAGACTGAGACTTTGCCTTTGCATGTTTAAAAAGTATGTTCTCTTCATGCTTACTTAATATTTTGTTTGTTTTTGGTGAAAAATAATATTTCTTCAGAATTTTGGAGGCATTTTTAAGTACCTTCTAGCTCAGTGCTGTTAAGATGTCTGTTGTCATTCTCTTTTCTGCTTCTTTGTGAATTTCTGTTTCTTTTTTATTTCCAGAAGCTTCTAGCACCCTCTTTACTCGCAGCACTCTGAATTATGAAAGTCATGGGCCTTGCTTTTCACCCATTATTCTGGCACTTGGTGGGCCCTTTCTGTCTGAGAAAAAATTTTTTTTGAATTATTTTGTTATTGATTTCCTGTCCTTTGTTTTCTCTATTTTCTCTTTTCCTGGGCCTTCTATTATTTGGATGTCTGAGTTTTTGGCCCTCTTGTTTTCTTATAGTGTCCTGTGCTTGTTTCACGGATGCAACAGCTTTCCTGTTCCGCCCTCTCTGAGGATATTAATGATTTTTTTAATGTTCTCTTCATTCTCCCTAGTTTTTGTTTTTTTCTTTTGAGTTGCTTTCTTTCTGTTTGCTTTGGTCTTTAACTTTCTTATGTGATACTTCCTTGGGCAAATATAATGTCTGGTTGTATGCCTATGGTTTAGAGTAGGAAGCTATGGAAAGCTCAGAGCTTCACTTTTGGGTAATCTGGCCAGACCTTTTGCTGGGGAAACCCCATTGTTGGATTTTTTGTCCTGAACTTCCACTAGAAAAAGCCTTCCAATATTTTGCCTAAAGAGTAAAGTCAGGCTGCCGGCTTTCTCAGAACCTAGTGCTGTAAGAGGGTTGGGGAGTCTCAGAATTCGATACTTAGTATGAATGCAATACTCAGTATGTATCCTGCTTTTGGAACAGAATCCAAAATCTCAACCGACCCAAATGTGCTCTGTTTTGTCCTCCTCAGAAAACAAAACTCCAGCCTTCTACTTAGTAAGGGAAGAGTATTCCCTACTGGACTAGAACAGGGGAGAGGGTCTAGGGACTTCTTTCCCAAACAGATTTTTCCACACTCCTTTCCTCCCATTTCCACACAGATCTTGACTGCTGGGTCCTGAGCCTTCTGAGGGATCTTTGGGGTAAATGGGCTTGTCCTCCCCTCTCCCCACTCTGGGCTTGGCTTTCAGCTTTCTAGGACCTGTTGTCAGTTATCATTCATCAGACTGCTTTCCAGATTCCAAAATGCGTTATCACCTCTTTCTCTATTCTCTCTGAACAGTTCTATTCTCTCGGTGTATTTCTAGTCCGGTTTGGGAAGGCAGTGAAGTGAGACGGGTTTGTTCAGTCCACCATCCTAATCCAGAAGTCCTTTGAGGCACTTTTTTCAGTTGGCTTCAGTGATGCTGTTCTCCTGAGTGAGGTCTTAATTCATGCGATGCTCAACCCCAGTCTTTTGCTGGTCCCTCCAAGTTTCTGGGCCTCTGGACTTTGATCTCCTTTTCTTCTGTATTCACTTCTCAAGTGGCTCCATCCTGTCCTAGGGCTCTAAGTACCACCAATAGTCTTGTGATTTCCACATTTATATTTCAAGCTGGACCTTCCTTCTGAATTCATAACTTCCTACTTAGAGTCCCTTAGAAGTCCCCAGGGCATCTCAGTTTATCCACCTTCCCCTCCCCCCAAGCCAAACCCCACCCCCGCCCTCTCCCTGCCCCAGCATTCTTCTCAGTATAAGGTCCAACATGAACCAGGTACTTAAACTAACCCTCATGTCAGTCCTTGTTTTCTCTCTTTTTCTCACAAATCCCTCAGAAAATCCTGAAGGCTCTATTTTTAAAATGTGGCCTAAATCTGGCCAAATATTATCACTTAACCACTGTGTCTGAAGTAGTGAAGCAGAGGAGCTTTCTGGAACATTTTATATAAGATAGAACCCCTTCCAACACAGCACCCTCCTACATATGTGCATATCCAATTCCAGTCCAACATCACAGAATAGATTCTACCTTTCTCCCTTTCCATATTTATAACTCCCATCTTCAGCAGTGAAAAACCTGACTCCTAGCATAAGCAGCTAAAAAGAATTGTAGAGGTAAAATCCGAGGCCCTGGCATTTCAGAGAAGAAATGGAGCAATAAAGAAATGAAGGGATGCCCTGGCTGATGTGGCTCAGTAGATTGAGTGCTGGCCTGCAAACCAAAGAGTTGCTGGTTTAATTCCCAGTCAGGGCACATGCCTGGGTTGCAAGCCAGGTCCTGGGTAGGGGGCATGCAAGAAGCAGCCACACATTGATGTTTCTCTCCCTCTCTTTTTCCTTCCCTTCCCCCTCTCTAAAAATAAATAAAAGAAAATCTTAAAAAAAAAAAAAAAAGAAGTGAAATGAGTGGTGAGCCCAAGACAACACTAGGTCATTTGCATAGAGTTTTCATACATGGGAATTGTGTAATAAGTGTGCTCAGCCTTAAAGGAACATTAATAATATGCTATTATAATGTAATTTAAATGTTCCTTTTAAATAATTTCTTTTGGGAAATGTTCTTAAAAACTTAATTTGCCTGGGATGGATAACCTTATATTAATAGTTAATTCATTAAATAATCAAGATATATTCCATTTTTCTGGACAGAATGTGGAGGCTAGGGGAAAACATTTTCCCCAAAATATTCCCTTCTTAGTTGTCTTTTTCTAGACAGGTGAGTTTTTCTAGCATCTGGGCCTACCTGCCACGAGAATAAGGAAGAGAACTTAGAGGGGAGCTACTTGAATCCAAGGGCCATAGTTCTGATGTGGAAATGTTCCAGCTTGTCTTCCTGGAAGTGGCCTCTTTCATGTTGTCCCACTGTTGAAGCAGCCTCTTATCTGCTTGAAAGGATTTCCTAAACATCTGGTCTGTGGCAACAGTGACCTTGCAGCCCCTCTCAGAGACTGGAAGTGACTTTTTTTGGTCACCTTGACACAACTACTCAGGAGTTTCCTCCCTTCCTTACTTCTTAGTTCTGCCTGGGGACCACAACAACATTGTTTAATATTTGATTCGTCAAAACACTAGGTCCAGCTGGTGGGTAGGAGTCTCTGAAAATAAGTGTACACTTTCTGTGGCCCCTTTCACCCCTGCCTAACTTTTTTAAAAAGTCTCCCCTAGGAGGTGCTTTTCTTCTAATTCGCACAAAGGACCTCCTGGGGCTCGTGGGTGCCTGGTTATATAAGCTCAAAGTCAGAGGTGTACGGGCAACAGTGGCATCAAGTTTAGATGCGGTGAAAGGGCAGAGGCAGGAAGAGGAGAGGGGGTGCAGCGAGCTAGCAGGGAGGAGCAGTGTGGGGACGGGACCGGGCTGCCCACGTGGGTTTTTAATTATCGTTAACTTTTGTTACGTGGTGTACAATGTAAACTTCTTCCCTATCTTCAGTAAAATCTTCATTGCCTTAAAAAATATCCTGCCTAGGGAGCCTGAAGAAACCAAGTGCTCACACACAGAAAAAGAGTTCTGCTGCAAGGCCATGAGTTTGGGGCAACTAGACAAAACAAACAGCATATTTTATGCTATATGTTAACTACCTTTCCACCCACAAAAATCTTCTTATAGAAATGGAGCTCAAGTTACCAGGAAGGTTCCCAGTGGTGTCACAGATATTTGAGATCGCTGGTCATAAACATGTGCTGAAATCCCCATGGGTCTTCATGGTCCTCCCCACCTCCCATCAAAGCAGATGAGAGCATTGTTGTTGGTTTGCTGTGCCTAGAGTTCAGCAGTGTGCTGATCACGTGTCCTTCACACTTTGACGCTGCGATGAGTTCGATGACTGTATGTGCCACCTAGGATTTTTCACTATTTAAGCCTGTATTCATGCCGCTTCTTTGTTTTCCGTAGGGTTCCAGAACATCTCGTGAGGAGCATAACTTGGCAGACACTGCAAGCTGTAAATTTTTGCCATAAACACAATGTAAGTCTCATGATTTCCCTTGAAGAAATCAGAAGGCTGCCCTTAAGCTGAGGCGGAGCCTTTGTTCAAAGTTTATATTGTGCTTTTGTGGATATCATTTCTTATCCAAATCTTCTTAAACCTGGTTGGGGTAAGTAGAGGCTAAAAATGCCAACCTAACTATTCCTTCTTGCTCAGGTTACATAAAGGATGCCTTTTTATGATTTTCAGAAAGTAGTTACACTGATCAGAAGCTACTCAGATTTCAGGTAGCATCTCATTCACTTGGAGTCTCTGTGGGTCTGCTCCATTTCCAAGACTCTGAAATTGGGAAGGGGAACCCACATCACTTGTGTCTGTTCAGTTGCAGCAGGTGGGGTTCCAGGCACGATGCCTCAGTGCTAGCGTCTGCTTTGCTGAGCTATGAGTGCCAGGTCTGGCATGAACCAGCCCAGTGGAGGCCTGTGATGCTCCTGGCCACCGTGAGGCCTGACAGAGGCAGTGGCCCCAGATGGTGTGATTTCACACAGGCTGGGAAGCCTGTTGCCCCCTCCTATAGAACACTGCCCACTCCCTGCACACAGGAGCCAAGTCCCAATGTTAGAGCTTCATTTTGGCCACAAGGCTGTCTGACTGCAATAGGTCAGTGTACTGACTGCCAGGGTCAATTTAGCTGATGGGCCTGAATCCTCATCTTGGAGCTCTTTCTAAATGATTTTTCCCAACGCTGCCTTCCAGGACGGAGAAAAAATGATAGTAGTCAGCACTTCTCCCTACTGAGTCTCCACCTTGCTGAATGAAGGCTACGGTCCTTGTCAAAATGCAAAAAGCAGAGAACATGGATACCTTATACTACTATTAACTACAAGCGAGTGAGAATTAGCACTCTCCTGAAAGTAGGTGTTAGGATGGGGGAGCAAGAGAGGCTGCATAAAGACCCTGGTGGGGCAAATGAGAGACACCAAGGGCAAATGCATACCTCTGTTCCCTGAAGAGCCCCTGACTGCTGTTTGGCTGCAAGTGCTGATGAGGGGAGGGCGTAGCAACTTGTAAAGAATTCCCAGAACAGAATAGGAGCACATTCTTGCTTACAAGTCCTTCTGCCCATCTGTCATCGTGGTATCTATGGGTGTGCCCATTTATAGTAATATGTGAAGCCAGTGGGAAAAGAGTGAAGATCTCAGGGCCACTAGTTGCTGAGAACCAGATAGATTCAAATAAAATAATTCAGAAATTGTCTCCCAAATTTTTTTCCAGAGGAATTAATACCCTTTGGGGAAACACTGACATTGATCTCTCACCCTGAAGGGCCTTTGGAGTGAGTACTAGGCCAGACCCAAGAAGAACCTTTGTCCCTTTTCCAGATTCTAGAAAGTCAAGAATACCCCCAGGGGTTCAGCTGCAAGCCAAAGAGGGTGGGTCTCTCCTTGTAGGATCCGCCATTCTTCTCCAGAGTGGAAGAAGGAGAGATGATTAGGGACCCTGAAAAGTAATTTAAGCCAACCATTTTTATATAATTGTTAATTAGGTTGTTGATTTGTTCTTTGCCAAGGAAGTTATTTTATAAGAAAATCATGTGACGATTCTTAAACATTCTTCTAACATCTCCCTGGTAAGCAATATCTACTGTGGTTTGGAAAGCACAAGTGATTTCAGTCCAAACTATGGTGTGGATGCAGCTCAAAGAACCCTTGATGTGTGTGGGACGGAGCTGACATCTAGCGACTCCCTCCAGAGGGTGAGCGCTGCCTACTCTTGTTTATCTTGTCAGAACAAATGTCAGAGCTGGAAGGGAGGTCCCTCGGCAAGCTGGGCAAGCTCGGGGTCCCCGCCCTTCTCTTCCCCAGCTTATCTCAGCAGGCCCAGGGCTTGTCCTGTTTACCAGGCAGACTGTGTTCTGTTCTGTTAAACAACTGAATGGTGAATCCTGCTTCTGCACCAGCTTGCAGCTCCAGCAGCCATGGTGGAGGCCTTGTCCAGAGCCTTTTGACATTTCCCTTTCCCCTAGGGTTGCCAGATTAAATACACGCCAAGTACTACATGAGACATACTTATACTCAAAAATTGTTTAACTAAAATGTAAATTTACCTGGCTGTCCTTGTTGGTCCTTTTGTCCCCTTCAGGAATTTGGAATGATACAGGCTATGACAGGTAGGACACTAAATTTATTTCATGCTGCTCTTTTGCAAATTTTGGGACTTTGCAGCTTATTATCCAAAAGACCAGTGAGAGGTTCAAATGACTTCTCAATGATTTGCTAATTATTCATGTGTTTTATTTATCCCATATATTATAGTTTCTCTTTAATAATCTATTTTGGTTCTATTTCTGTGACTAGTGCATACATAGAGATGTGAAGCCAGAAAATATCCTGATCACAAAACATTCAGTGATTAAGCTTTGTGACTTTGGATTTGCTCGGCTTTTGAGTGAGTATTGAAGCTTCTCTTAAGTATAAAAGGTGGAAAGATCCTTTATATATTAAATGCTATAGAAAGCTAGTTCCTGTATATTTAGGTCCTAAGCTTGCTACAAATTATTATGTAGTTACTGAAAACATGTAGACACATACAGTGGTTTAAAAATTGTATGCTATATGGAAATTATACTGCAGCAAAGTGGTTATTAAAAAAATATGTTACCCTCCTGGTTTCTACCATTTTTGGATACTAAAATAGTACCAAAGTACTATTTTAGAAAAAGGCGTTTTTCAACTGTGGCTGCAGTTTAGACTCATATGGGGAACTATAACTGTAAAAACTATATGGATCCACCTCGCCCAGGGACTGTGGTTTAATTGGACTAGGGTGGGGCCCAAGCATCAGTACTTTGAAAAATTCAATATTCTAAGTGATTTTAATGTACAAGTAGTACTGAGAGCCACTGATTTAGAAAAGCCACAGCTGGGGCACAAGCTGGATGTCTTAGGTCTCTGCCCTCCCAGTTTTGATCTCACGCTTCCACTGCTCTCTCTGTTTCCCATGTCCCATCCCTGGCCAGCTGGACCGAGTGACTACTACACGGACTACGTGGCTACCCGGTGGTACCGCTCCCCGGAGCTGTTGGTGGGGGACATGCAGTATGGCCCCCCAGTAGATGTTTGGGCAATCGGCTGTGTCTTTGCTGAGCTGCTGTCAGGGGGTGCCTCTGTGGCCAGGAAAATCCGATGTGGATCAGCTCTACCTGATCAGGAAAACCTTGGGTAAGCGGTACCTCTGTCCCGCCTTTTGGAAAACGGGGTAGTTTTACTCACATCAGTGCAGAGCAGAGCCAAGCTCCTAGTCCCACCTACTGCCCTTTACAGTTGTGGAGGAGGGACACTCTCAATGTCTCATTTAAATGATCCCATTGAGGGTGTCCACGTTTGTCTTAATAAAAAGAATCCACAGTTTTGACTATGTATTAATTGTCCAAAAGGACACAATTCTCTCTTTTGGCATTTGTTTGGATCAAGTTAAACTCTGAATCATGATTGTAGCAACAATACACACATATATTTCTACAAGGGCTTAGCAGTTTAGAGGACGCTGACGAAATTATTTCATTGACGATGATGTGGTAACTCATTTGTTTGTTGTCCTTGACCCCAGCCTGCCAGGCTAACTTGGATTATTCAGACCCTATAGAGAAAGATTCTCAACCTCCTGTGTGTCAGGAAGAAAGTCACTCCTCTAATGTCCCTCTTCTTGTCGTGCTTTCTCACCCCAAAGCCACTTCTTTTCTTTCCCCTCTTGGGGTGGAGGCGCAGAGGGGAGGAGAAGAGAGAGGAGAGGGACAGATGAAAAGACCTATAAGCAGTGATTGTCCTCTTCAAAAGTCGGGGAGTTTAGCTACTACTTCCCTGAGTAGTATCCCAATTTAAAGAGAACTGTCCTCTTCCAAAAACTTGCAGCCCCTGCTGTCACCCGGGCTTTTACTATCTCCCCAAATATACTGTAAATTGCCTGAGGGTGATGTCGTGTCTTTTATTTCTGTCTGCCCTCCACCAGTGTCTGCACACGGTAGGCAGTAAATAGTTGCTGATGGCTGTTGTTGAGTGACAAGTAAGAGACCTGGGAACCCTTGCAGGGGCACTGATCCTTCCTTGGCTGTGTCTCCTCTGGTCATTTTAGGACACCCTCTCCATGCCCCCCAACTCTGATGGAAGAAGGTTATTAAGGTACGGGCACTGTTCCCAGGCTGAAGCTCAGAGGTCTGGGGTAAGGTATTAGAGAGTATTTTTTAGCTGCTTGTGCAAAATGGGGTGGGACAGCAGCTTTTGGATTTGAGTGAGAGATAAATTTCCAAACCAAATTGATAAAATTAGACAACTTGATACCCTGGGGTAGGAACTCTAGCCCAGTCCAATAGCAGCAATTCTGGAGGCCTGATTTGGAGGGTTTTTTGCTCACTGTGCTCTGGGAAGTGGTCCTGGGTGTGCCTCGGGGGTGCCCTTTTCTGAGTATCTCCTTGCATTCTCTGAACAAAATTCCTCTTTAAGTGTACAATCCCTAGAATTTTGCGTGAGGGCAATTCTAGCTGATTTGGTTGAAATGTGGGCAGAGTGAGCCTCACATAATCCCCAGAATATAGAAATGCTCCTTTTGTTTTGTCGCTTCACATTGTCAGTACTGTTAAACAGTGGATAAAACAGGATTTTCAGGTGACCGCTACTTGGTGAAACAAGAAAACAAAGTGGTTCCAGGTTAGAAATGTATTCCTTCTAGTTACATCTTCCAAGGGTCCCCTTTCTCCCTCCCCCTTTCTCTCTCCCTCCCTCCCTCATTTCTCCTTCCTTCACCTCCTTTTCCCCTTCCTTCCTTCCTTCCTTCTCTCCTTCCTAAAATATTTTTTGAATGCTTGTTAAATGTTAGGTACTGTGCTAATCTTAGGCCAATAATACACTTTTATCTTAACCCATCAGGATTCATTCAGTTAACATGATTTTGATGTGTAGTTGTACTTTTGCTAATAAAAACGAGGGGTTTATTTGATCTGTGTATGTGCTTCTGAGTTGTTTGGTTTGGATTACATAAGCACACTCTGAGCCTTGAGGGGTAAGAACCTTGTAGTCCTCCGTTTCTGTGCGTGCCTCCTCTGTGCCTCACTGCGCTTCGTGCAATGTAGACCTCAGTGCAGGTTGTTGACGCTGCCTCAATGTCTCTCCCTCTGATTGGAGAGTAGACTGTAGCCTTCGTAGGTTGCAGGCACAGGCAGACACAGAACCAGAAAAAGGGACACCACAGGTTAGTGCTTGCTAACCCATCTCATGTTACTTCCTCTTTCTTCTCTCCAAAGGAGATCTCATTCCTAGGCACCAGCAAGTGTTTAGCACCAATCAGTACTTCAGTGGGGTGAAAATTCCAGACCCTGAAGATATGGTGAGTGACCCATTTTGGAAAGAATCCTGCATGCGAGAGCGGAGGTTAACAGAGTATTTAAGTGGTGATCATCCTATTTAAACAGGGAGAGGCTAACTACATTTTGGTAGTTACTTTCTTGAGCCCTATGGCCCAGTCTGCCCTGGAAGGTCACTCTAAGGGTGGGAAAAAAAAAAAAATTGGGACTCAGGCAAGTGAGTAACTACCAAAACCTAGCTAGGGGTGGTTAGTGAGCATGAGGGACAGGAATGCAGAGTGCCTGCCCTGCGCTCACCGGCCCTTCATCATTTCAGCAGTTGAAGCTCAGAGCCAATCAACTTCAGACAATGACTCATCCAGGAAAATCCAGCATTGTCCAAATCCCCCGCTCTACTGTGCCCTCACTGCCCAGACCATGAGGGGAACGGGAATGACCTTGCACGGCCAGCCTCACTCGGGGGCCTGCGCTCTGTGCTCAATGTGGGGAACGTACTCATTCTAAAAACAACGGAAAAATTAAAAATATGCATGTCCTTAGTCCACTTTCAAGAATTTATTCCAATGAAAGGCATAAAGATGTAACATTCTTTAATAGAAATCATTTCCTTTTTGTCCCTCAGTAGAGGATTAAATAACTTACGGTATATCCTTACCATAGAAATACCACAGAGCCAGTAAAAATATTTTTATGTATTCACTTGAAAAAAAATTCACAACATATTGCCAAATGAAAAAATGCTTATAAAACAGTATATATAATTTGACATAATTGTAATAAATATTTGCTACACAATGTATATATTTATATATAAGTATAAAATAATATGACAGCCTTTGAAAAATCATGCAAAGCTTTTTACATTTGTGAGATAAATGGCTGCATATAGATACAACAATATTAATAGGGTATATCTCTTGTGGTGGGGTAATTTTTTTCTTTTCTTTATGGTTTTTCAATATTTTTTATGTCTTCTAATGGGCTTGTATAATAATCAAAAACATTTCAGAGCACAGTTAAAGTTTGTCTGAGTTTCTACTGTCTAAGAAAGGTACTTTCAAATCGAAACTAACCCTCCAGTTGCTCAGTTTCCATGTCGGGGTTCTGTCAAGTGCCATTTGCGCTGTCTGTTCCCTCAGCCCCTTGGCTTGCCTCGCAAAGAACACTTCCTCTTCCCATTCCTGCCACCGCTAGCAAGGGGAAAAGTGGGTCGTGCTGGGAGCATGCTGGGACAGAGAAGTAGGAATGACACCTGGCATATGGGAGGTGACCCAGCTGGCTCCCTAGTGACCTGGACATTCCCAGTTCCACACTAAATATCCCTTAGGATTTCCTGTTTGCTTGTGTACTGGTGAAGCCTCAGAAACAGTCCAGGTTTCATAAATGTAAAAGCTTCCCATGGTGTCCCAGAGGTGGTTCTGCAGGGGATTTCCTGTTGACAGAAACACAGGAAGCAGCAGTGGAGGGGATGTGCTGGTTCAACATCTGTGTTTGAGTCCCTCTGCTGGTCAGTAACCTTGCTGGAGGGAGGCCTGCTTGCTTCTGGGGCTGGGAAAACTGGCTAAGCCGGCAGGATGGGCCCATTGTATCGCGGCCGACCCACCAGCCTCACCCCACGCCCTGCTGCTGAGACAGCAGGGCCCAGTGTCAGCAATGTCCTATCAATTCCCAGCCGAGCTCAGAGGCAACACACAGAAATAGCAAGAGAAATATTTAAGCCAGCAATTTTCAACCTTTTTCATCTCATGGCACACACAAACTAAAACTAAAATTCTGCAGCACACTGAAAAATGTATTTTTTGCTGATCAGACAGAATATAGGTTTATTTTGATTTATTCACACTGGGTGTCTAGCATTGTGTTGGCTGTTGTCATTTTTTTTTATTTGACATTCGAAAGAAAAAGAGGTCAGTGCCCCTGACTAAGTAGCTATTTCATGTTTTAAAAATTCTTGTGGCCCACCAGTTAAAAACGCTGACTTAAGCTCTGGCTGTGGAGGGCAGGGGGCGAGAGGGCGCTACTCTCAAGGGCTAATACAAATCTGCTTAAGGATTTTTTTTTCCCCTCCCTGTATCTGGTAGGGAATTCCAAAACGGAGGCTCTGGTCTCTTACTCTTATCAAAGATTAATAAGTACACACCTGGGAATTGGTTGTTTTTGTCTGGTTCCCTCTTTAAAACAGCACTGTGCTTGCAGTGCCAGGGGTGGCGTTTCTTTTGCTGAGCCGGGCCAGCCACTCCAGACCCCAGCTCACACACTGCCATCGTTGTACACTCAACACAGCTGGCCGTTTATTTTACTCAGCTTGGCTGGCTCTTATTTTCCCAGCTCCCCTCTCTGATTAGCCTGTTCATCTGTGGTGTATCCCTTTCACTGGCTTATCTGTTTGTCTGTCTGGCATTGGGCATTTCTTCCACTTTATCGTGTTTGTTATCTCTCATTGTCTCTAGCATGTGACTGGAACAAAATAAGTCGTACAGGGCCAAAGGGAGTTTGAAGACTATCTGCTTGGGAGACTCTTTAAACAGTAGGATGATCAGGGAAACAGCAGGCTCTTGTGGGAGAAGACAACAGTGTTCATTTTAGAAAACCAAGAAGCATCTGTTCACGTGGGTAATGAAAAAAAAAATCTATTTTGAAGCTCTGTTTTTGTGAATGTCAATAAATGCAAAATTGGGCCCCTTTATATAAAAAGCCAATATTAGTGCCAAAAATTATTCTGAGGCAAGGCAAGTTATATAAACTGAGGCAGGAAAAAAAGGAAGTAACAATTGCTCAATGAATTTGCTTGTTTGTTTGTTTCACTAGTGTTTTCTCATAATTTGCTACCTGCATCAGTTATTCAGAAAGTGAAGGGAGTGGCTCGGAAGAAGATTTGGAAAAGCAATCTGGAGGTGGGGAGAGAAGGGCTGGTGAAACAGGCAGAGGGAGGCTGTTGCGGGTGAGCGGTATGGTGGGCAGAGGGTGGAGGAGGCAAGGAAGGTGCCAGGAAGATGCTGCTCTCACTCAGAAGAAATGCAATCTGAAGTAACCTCTTACTGGAATACATGCTGTAAGTAAAACCCCCTTTTCTTTCTTTCTTTCTTTCTTTTCTTTTTTAAACAGGAACCACTTGAATTAAAATTTCCAAACATCTCTTATCCTGCCCTGGGGCTCTTGAAGGTAAAATCATGGCTTTTCCAGCAGCTGTTGTCATTGGGGAATCCACTGATTGAAAAGTGTTCCTTTTAGAATTCTTCTCCTTTGAAAAGTATACATGTTTTCAGTTTTTAAAATGGGTCACATTCTACTACAGTACAAACATCTGTAAGTGTTTTTCACTTTAAATAAACCTAACATTGTATTTGACTTCTAAATTTACACAAAATAGAAATTACAGAGGAGTGGTTTATTTTAAAAAAGATCTTTTTCTTCAAAAAATGATAGCCATAGGATCCTTTTAAAGAGCCATCTCCCTGGTATACTTGAAGTAGGTTTTGATTTTAAAATTTATATACATACACATTTTCAAGAATATCTAGGCCTTATGTGGATGAGGAGCTGTTAAAATATTTGCAAGTTACTGTCAATGTCCCACCCATTTCAAAAAGTATTGACTACATTTACTGATGTATTTATAACATAATTTAAAACGTGAGACAGTTCCTTGGGGTATGGGGTCACGAGATGTAATCTATCCAGGATGAGCCCTATGGAAAGCTCCCTGGCAAAACAAATAGTTAAAATGGTGTTATACAAAAGGATGTATACTATGCCTCTCCTTCCATGCAGACACATGTATGCTTGTAATGCATAGACTATTTCTGAAAGAATTTAAAAAAAATTTTGATTTTAGAAGGGGGAATGGAAAAACTAGAGTGGTTGAGAGACTGCTGAATCTTGTATGCACTTTATTTTTACCATGTGTTGGCATTATTTTTGAAGTGAAAAAAAAATCAACCTAGTTTTCACAAAATATATGCAAGGGACCAAAGAGGCTAAGTGGATAATTCAAGCTAGACACTGAGGTCAGAGTAACAACTGCCTCAAGAAGAGAACAAGGTGGGAAAAATGATTTTTTCTTACTATTTCCAGAAACTATTTATTTATTATGTGGCTCCTCATTTAGGAATCATCATGGAAGGAACTAAAACCATGATTGGGTGTTTCCCCCCCTTTTCCCTCTATCTTGTTCCCAACTGATCAAACTATAAGTTTAATCTTACAAATATAAAAAATGACATTAATACATTCGTATTATTTTTAAAGGAAGGTGGAATTTTTCCTTCTTTTAGGGCTGTCTGCACATGAATCCTGCTGAGAGACTGACGTGTGAACAGTTGTTGCAGCACCCATATTTTGACAGCATCAGAGAAAAAGGGAATTTGGCAAAAGATCACGACAAACCAGCAAGGAAGGCCCTGAGGCAGAACCGAAAGCACTTGCCTGGGGTAAGAATGGGGCATGGCTTTACAAAAGCATCCAAGGTTGCAATGTCAAATGATCTATCTGCCACCTAGTCAAGAGGGTCTGAATCTACACTTGTGGTGGCAATCGCGGCTTGCAGCTCCAGGACCTCATTCCTGCCCCAGGACACTGGTCCCATGATTTACCAACCAGGGCCCCCTAGACAGCTGCCTCCCAAGCCCCCTTTTCCCTGAATCCGAAAGATGTTCTTGCCCTGCAGTTCCCAGCTGCCACACAAGGGCCGGGATTTTTGGTGTGCGTGAGCGCAGGTCTCGGCCAAGCACCCACTGTCAGTCCAGCTGAGTATGCTTTTTGTGCTTTGGAAAATGAACCCAGATTCATCCTAGTAGCTCTCTGTCATCTTGTTTACCTTCAGTATTAATTGACATTCCAGGTTTCCCCTCAAAGGAACTGTTTTCCCTCCTGATCCTTTAATCACCAGAGTTGACTTGGGTAAAAGCAGTGATGAGTGCCTTCCGGGATAGCAGCAGAACAGCACATTTAACCAAAGAATTGCCTCCAAAACAGCACCCTGAGAGCCTGTGAAGCTTCATGATTGGTGTAAAGTGGCAAAATGGCCTTACAATAAGTGTCTTGTCATAAGCCAGAAGCTGTAACAATTTAGAATGGACTGTAGTTGGGAATGACAACTAAGATGAGCTGGCTGCTCCTGGTCACTTCTGAAACTGTCTAGATACCCCTTAGCTTAAATTATCTTGCCTTAGCTTAGACTTCCCCTTTGCAGCCTCCACTGTACAGCATGTTCAGTAGTATCTGGTGGTGTGTGTGAGGTTTAGAGGAGGGAAGAGGGTATCCTGACCATTAGGAACAGGTACCACAAGAACTTCAGGACCCTAAGATAGGTCAGTTTCAAAATGAAGAATGCTTTTATTTTAGTCTCTGTCATATATGATCCAGGTAGCAAAGCAGGTTGGAAATAGACTCCCGCTTCAGAGTTACACCTTATCTTGCCGTTTCTTTGTGTTCAAGAGTAAAGGGTCTTGATGGAAATATTTTTATTTGAAAAAATATGGGAATCCTGCTAATTTGTGTATTGCTTGTAATTACTGAAGGATTCAACTGTAATTTAAAATTTAAAAAAACCCTGCTTTTCAGATATCTACAGTCGTATAGTACAATAAAAAAGTAGATGTGTGTGTTCTCCTTGTTTTCACATGACATTTACAATAAATTCAAGCATTTTCTGGCAGCATGAAGGAGACAGTTTTGTCTTTTTTTAACTGAGGAGAAAGTGAGCAAATCGCCTAAGTGCTCCAGATACCAGTTTTCTTTGCTGTAAAACAAGGCATTGGCTCAAATGATCCTGTGAACGTATGCCTCGCTCTTGTGAATATATGCTTTTTTCCAATAATGTTAACATGTAGACTTTTCCTTTTTATATTCTCTAAATTTTCCTTAATGTGCATGTTTTTATTCTTAATAGGAAATAAACCTCTAAAAGGAAAAGCAGAGACCAAATGTAAACATTTTGTCCTCTCTCAGGTTCTGGATTCAGTGCAGAAAAAGTATTTCTGTGCTGAAAATTTAACTTATTTACCTCTTTTGTGACATGTTACCAACAATGAAAAAAGTACATGGCATTAAACCTAATTCTGTGCCTTGTATTTTCAGTTGCAGTATCTACCTCAGCTGACTAACAGCAGCCTCCTTCCAGCTTTGGATAATAAGAAGTACTGCTATAATCCGAAGAAACTTAACTACCACTTTCCAAACATTTAAGAAGCTTGGATAAAAAAAGAACTGATCAATAACTCAAAAGAAAAAAAAACCCATACATTTGATTGAAAACCATTCCAATGTTGAGAAAACATAAGTAACTAACTGGGAGAGACAACTTGGCAAGATATGAAGAGAAATTTCAGAAGCAGTCCTCCATGCTTGGTGATGCTGCCTGCAACAGAAGGGGAAAACTTATTTGGATTCCCACCTGTGTTTTTGTTGTATCTAAGTAGCTGGACTTATGGACAGATATAGAAATAGTATCTACTTCCTGTTCCTCTGGCAAAACTAAAGATGTAAAAAAGGTTTATGCTTCCATTGTACCATATGCAACAAGTGAAAAATGGATTACACAATGCCCGTTTCCTCAGATCTCTATTGCCTTGAGTCCTATCTCCAGTCTTTTTAGATTGTTTCACCATCATATTTAAGAAGGGTGTAAGTTCTTGAAATCAAAATATTTAAAATTCCATTTCCTGCATGCTCTTAGTTCTTAAATTTTAAAACTTTTTGAAATATTTAAGTTATTCAAAATACTTAAAATCATGTACTATCATAAAAAACTCACATGTTTATATATCCAATGATATGTTTATAGACATTTCTCACATATACTTTTGTCTTTCCATTTAGTAAAGGATGCATCTTAGTCGTTTTTGCAGCAAGATGGATTACTATAGTCCATCTACATTTGTTCACTCAATTCCCTTGCAAACAACGGCATGAAGATTGACAGCTGACCAAGGTGCAAGGGGTAGACCAAAACCTATGGGTTTGGCAGGAACTGAGCCTGACAGCCTAAAAGTAATTAGTACTTCATTCTCTCCAGCTTAGTCTAAGACTTGAAGTCAGACCCATAGGCAGGACTATAGTGACCTGGATTTTGTAAGAAATTGCTTGTGAGCTTTTACTTGGTCATTAGAGACCTTAGGTTGTAAACTGCTGTTTTCCCTGAAATATCTTTTTACACTGTGTGTGTGTGTGTATACACACACATGCACATTTATTTTATGTGTGTGTATATACATACTATTCTAACAACTAGTAATAAAACTGTAGTCCAAAATGATATTGAGGATTCCTAATTTTGCACAGTGATACTTAAAATGATGACATAATTAGCTCTGATTTGGCCTGTTGCTCCTATTCAAACAGCTTCTTCCTCGTCACTAGGACACAAGGGCAATATAAAATCCGTGTCTTTTCTTATAACTCAAAGCCATTTTTGGTTGATGTGCTACTACTATTTCCTAGTAGTTCTCAGCCATGGTTTTTGAAGTTATATTTTACTATATCTTCAAAACATTTCTTATGCACCCTCAGTTTACTGCTGTACTAATTTTCTTCATGAGAGTATTTGACCTTATTCACTAACAGCTAAGTAATGCACCAAATTCTGGCAACTGTTAATCAGTTTGGCTACCCCAGCCAGTTTAATGATATCCAAAGTCTTCCTGATGTATGTAGCTTCTTGCATAGGTCTGATAGTAAGTTAATCACTAATCCTAGTATTATCTAATTCTTGCTTTGAAGTCTTGCATCAAATGACAAGGAAGGATATCCAACTTCTGTGCATAGTTTACATTTTGTGTTTCTTCTTTTCCTTAACCCAAAACAATGCACTTGACAAGGCAGGTGACTGTAACTGCCTAATTTATTTGTTTTACAGAATACCATTCAGAATAGAAAGTAGCTCCAGACTAAACTGTGGTTAATCAGTTGCCTCATTACACAGCAATCAAACAAACCTGAGACAGATGTGCTTGTTTTCTCTAATGAGTTCTAGTAAATGTATGCTTATGTTTAACTTAACCATATCTGCAACCTTTTTTCACATAGAATATCTATTGTTTCACATGAGACTGTTCTATATCCTTGTCTTTTTAAAAAATTTATTATTTTCTGATTCTTAAAAAATGACAGTGGTAATTATATTAGTAAATATTATAATAGTATATAGTGTATAATTTATGGCATGTGTATTTACATAAGCTGGTTTCTAAGCGCAATTAAGATTCATTTATTTACCAGAATGCTGTATCATAGAAAATGTTTATTTCCGAAGTCATATTCAACAGCTTAATATTTAAACCAAACATACAGAAATCCACAAAGAAATCGGCATATAACAATAATAGAATCAGAGCCATTTCGGGTAAAGATAAAGACATGTTTTATTTAATGATATTCTTTATCACTGCTTTCTAGGCATTGAATTTTTTGTTTATATTCCTTCATGATGTCCCTTGAGCTCATAGGGAATAGTATCAAACAAATAGGGGGGAATAAAAATCAGTTTCTAATTGACATGTTAAAATTTTCTGTTTAAAGCATTTTTAAAATTTAATTTAAAAATTAAATTTAAGCAAAAAGCAAGTACAGTTGTACTGGTCTTCATGTTTATTTCCTCTGTTTTACTGCAATCAGCAAAACTATTTGACTTCAGCCAACTATTTATGTCTACTTCTAATAAAACACCAGACTAAACTTACCAAATAGGCAAATTAGCCAGAAACTAGTCATTCAGAGAAAGGATGATATTATAAAAAACAGGAATGCAGGATCATGAGAAAGGCATGCAAACCCTGGGAAGCAATACGAATGCCTCAGTAACCACTGGTTACTTTGCATAATTGACTTCATCAATGAATCACTTTCAATTTTTCATAGTTGTACATTTATAGTAACATGCTTCAATATCTTTAAGCCAAAATTTAACATAAATTACTGTCAAAATACAATAAGGAATATCTGTGTTGTACATGTAAATAACTTGAAAAAACTCAAGTCAGTATCTAAATCAGAGTTATCTGTACAGGTATCTATATAAAATGAGGGGTATATTAAGATTAAAATGCTACCTGGTTTGCACCACTTCCAAATTAGTAACTTTAGGGAGTCTTGTCTGAATATTTATTTTCTACATGATGGACTTTCTGCTTTTAAAATATGAGATGATATCCTGATAGGTCTACTGATGATTACATAATATTCGCTATATTTGGGATCAACAATTTTAAATGATACTTTATATTGAATAAGGCACTTATTTTTTATTATTATTATTTTCACTTCAAGTCTAATTTTAGTTCCAGAGAAGGTAGTGTTGTCTTAAAGGCTTGGACAAGGTTTTCTTTATTTCTTATTCCAGGAAGATCACATAAAAACAAATACTTGAGGTTTCTGTAAAAGAGAAAAAAAAAGAAGTTACTTCAATTTGGCTTTTACTCTTACAGCATTAAAACTAAACTCAATTTATTCACTTTTAGAAAAAAGTTACACACTGAATGTGTATCTTAGTTCTGAATTAAACCAATAATTCTAGCTGAATCTTTCCAAATACTATATGTATTTTACGGCATAAAACACCTTCACATGTGAGATATAAAATATGAACCTTAACCTAGAAAGGGAAACAAATTAGAAAAGTTGTTAAAGGAATTCAAAAGGAAGCCTTGAAGCCTCAACCAATGTAAGAAACAAACAATCTAGTACTTATGGTTCTAATGTTTAAAATTTCTCATACTTCCTGTGATAGATTATTGGCAGAACTTGGGGAAAATTGCTTTAAAAGATGGAGAGGAAGGATAATAGCTAATGCTTATTGAGAGCTTACTGCAGCAGGCACGATGCTAGGTGCTTTACACAGACTTAATTTTTTAAAAAAGATGCTCCCTAAATATGCAATAAAACCATAATGCATTAAGGTTGATGATTTCAACTGTTTTAAAGTATTACAGATGAAAGTTAAGTCATTTTCTCATTTCAGAACTAAAACAAGATACTACCCCTCAACTGTTTTAAATTCTGATTTTTCACCTTAGCATCACTATCAAGTTTCCATTTTGGCACTGATCACCTACCTTAAGTGACGCAAAGCAATGATGCCTTTGTCTGTGACATTCCCACATGAAATTATTTCCATTTCCAACAAACTTTTTTGTAAATTTTCAAATTGACCAATTCTCTCCAAACAGCCATCCTCGATGTAATGGCACTTGCAAAGCCTTATTTTTTCAACATGCTTTAGGCCCTCTAGGGGGAAAAAGTGCAGTTTAAGATTCTGCTTTGCCATTAAAATAACCTACTATCCCAGGTTTCCCAGGACTGTTCTGATTTTAGAATTGAAAGTCCTATGTCCTGGGAAACCTCTTAGTCCCAGGAAAACTGGAATGATTGGTCACCTTATTAACTATAGAGGGTATTCACTATACTGCTGATAGGACCATACTGCTGTCAGACAACCATGCACTGAGGGAAGAAATGTCTGCCCAGCCAGAAGCTATGTGAATATAATTTTAGTTCACATAAACATATCTACATATTGAGGCTTTTTCAATGACAAAAGTTTGAATTTTAAGTCAATAAACTATAGAATAAAGTTATGTAGAGACAAGCTTAGTAAGGGGAGAAAGGAGAGGAAGGTGTTTGTAACCTCTATTTAGTTCAAAAAGAAATACTATACATAGGAAGAAACAAACTGGATTATATTGAAAAGGCAAAAAGGACACATCTATAATATTAAGAAACAAAAGGTCACTGTAAAATCACCTGCATTTCTCATAAGCAAATGATAGGGTAGTTACCCATGTAATCAAATCCAATATTCATGATACAAGAGTCAGTGGCATCAATGGCCTGGATCTTGTATTTGTCCAGAGGGCCCGTTGGGAGGTTGTTGTAGTCCTTCTGCCACCTCTCCTGGCCATGGTAGCGCACCATGGCCCCACAGCGAAGCAGCCACTCGGAGGCCGCCCTTTCAGGGCCAGCCTCCCTGATGCGTTCATAGTCTACTCTGTTGGAAAGAGAACAAACGCAGTTGGGTTTTACTATAATCATTACCTTCTTAACTACATTCACCAACAGAAACATAGAATAGCAATAACTTTCCATTTCAAATGACTAAGGAGAGAGACAAGTATATTAGTGAGACCCATGCAAACAAACAAACAAACAATAAAACCCCCATACAATGGCTCTACCTGCTACCTTTCCTGCTTTTATTTTTGTTTCCAAGTGAACTCTGCCAAGGCTTGTTATTTTTATGTGAGTTATCAGGCAGGCATGAGTCTTCATTGATTTATATGCAGCACAGTGCTTGACACCAGGAGGTACTCAGTAACTATGTATTGAATGATGCACTTGGTTATTGTTTTTATTAATGGTAGAAGAGGGAATAATTTTGAACTTATGTTCAAATTAATCTTAAGTGATGTTTATTAATTTCTATATATGACTTTTTCTCTAGTTAGTGGTGTTAATGCAACAAGGAGGTCAGCCTCACCAGTTTCTAAATGATGTTTCTAAGCATGCCACTCATTACCTTTTTAAAAACTGGAGTTCACTTGATACTATTCAAAAGGCTAACTAGATCCTTTAAGAAGCCATAGAATAAAATATTCTAAAATTACATTTACTGAGCTTTTCTAATCATAAAAGTAATAAATATTCATTTTAGAAAACTTGAAAGGCAGGGATAGTCCAAGTAAGATAAAAAATCACTGAAATCCTGCAACCCAGGCATGTTAACATTTTGTATTCTATTTTTCATCCTTATTCAATGTTTGTATGTGTTTTGTTATTAAACAAAAGGAGGACCATACTGTATACACTGTACAAAAAACCAACTTGAAACACAAGAAATAATCACATAGCTAATGGGAACTCATCTAACTCTAACAATCCCCATGTTTCTTCACTTTAATGAGAGTAACTTACTTATTAAACACTGCATTCAACCAGCCCCAGAAGTATCTGGTGTCACATGACCGTGGGAGTTTCTTTAAGCCACATAACTGCCAGGAAATTTTTCCAAACAGCATCGTTTACTCTAGATACACAAAACAGCATTAATATTCAGTAATTAGCTAGCAATCGGAGTCACATATGTACAGTCACTTCACAACTTCAAAGTCAATGCTCTTGTGCCAAGAAAGCTGATGATTCACTTGCCTCTCAATAGTCACTGAGCAAGTCACTCCTGTCTCAGTTTCCCAGTTTCTATTGCTGCAAAAGAAATGAGGAACTCTATGGTTCCTTCCAACCTTCACACTGTTTCATTGTTCTATCCTCATTGGCGTCTGTCTGCGCGGTTGCCCCCTGGTGTCCATTCAGGCAGTGCACCTACATATTGACAAATCACCTCCACTCCCGATCTCCATTTCCAGTATGAAAATGGCAAACTAAATTGCCTAGGGAGCAGTGTGTGGAGGTCAAGACCTCCAGGGAGGAAGAGGACACATGGAAACAGATCTGTGACGAGGCTGCAAATAGTGTCACCAGGAACAGTACAAAGAACTGTGGAAGGGCAGCAGGGAAAGCCTGGGGCAGCAACTTCACCTCTCTGACCCTTGGTTTTCTCACTTGTGAAAGGAGATGAGGTGCTCAGATGATTTCCAGCTGTAAAAATCTATAACCATGAGTTGAGAAACTGATTTTTAAATTGGGTCTCAATCTGATTTATGCCAATTCAAGTTTCTCTAGGACTGTGCCAGGTGGGGGAAAAACAATGATAAATGGAGTTTGGTTTCTGCCTTTGAGGAGCTAACAAGTTAAGGCAGGATGGAGAGAGCTAAACAATTTACCAAGTAGTTAAAATACAGGATAGAACCTCATCAATATTTTAAAAGAGTTAAAATAAGAACAGGCTAGGATTTAAATACAGATACCAGGCAAAGGTCTGTCAGGTTAGCTGAGGCAGAGACATTTAAGGCGTGCTGTATTTCAGTTGCGTTAGCACATGGGGATAATGAGGAGACAGACAATTTATATAGTCACATCAAAAAGCGTCTGGCATAACCAGCCAGGGAATTTGGACGGTCTTCTGCATGTGGTTGGGAGTCACTGAGGTTTTAGCACCGAACACTGGCATTGCTAGAGATATGCTTCAGGAATATTACTCAGACAGCAACGTCAGGATTGCGAACAACAGAACAGGATAGAAAGACAGCTAACAAGGTCTTCAACTACATGTGGGCATGGGAAAGGGCCAAGTGGGGAAAGAATGAAAATGACATTATCGAATGGATTCCACATGACTCAGTAAATGAGATGTAGGGGCAAGAGCCAGAGAAGTTGAAGATGACACTAACTTGTGGTCCTGAGTCACTGGTAAGATGATGATGCCATTATGAAATCAATGTCAGAAGGGACAGGGTTGTGGGTTCAGGTTCTTTTTATATCCCACTTTTTATATTCTAAATATGAAGTGTTGAACTTCTAAGAGGAGATGACCAACAAATGATTAGAATCTAAGTCACATAATGGTACTGCTGAAAAGAATTCAGACCACCTAGACTAAACCTCTTATTCAGAGATAAGGAAACTGAAGCCCTGATATTAAGTAACCTGCTGACACCCTAAATCCTTTCTAGAACAAGGTGTGGCTTTAATAAATGCATGTGTTTAAAAGAACTTGCCCAATGTTTCATGGCTAATTGGTGGCAGTGCTGAAACTTGAATGTAGTTCTGTCTGTTACCAGTTCAGGACTCCTTCCTTAGTCATTGGATGGTTATTCAACTCATCGAAAAAAAGAGGACTAGAAAGAGGCCTGAGTGGGAACCATCTCAGAGCTGAGGAAGTGACTGAGGATGCTGAGGTTGTGGAACAGTGAGAGAGGAGGTCTGAGGACAGAACCTGGCATCGCCTACCCTCCCGCTCCCTTTTCCACGATCACTGGGCCTTCATTACTGTTAACCTCTCACCTCCCCACCTCCACGCGCACCCCCACCTTGCTATCACTTCACGCTCTCAGCTCTTTCCAGCTTTTTGTTAAAGCTCCCTCCACCTGTGCCCTCCTCTATAAACACCATTGGCTGTCAATCTCATTTACAAGTCTGGGCTTTCCAGCTTCAACTCAGGCTGTGACTTACTTATCATTACTCCCTGCCCACCCAATCCTCTCTGTGGAAATCTTACCCAACCTCAAGGGTTTATTCAAATACGATTTTTATCCATCTGTCCATTCATTCAATAAACATTTATTGATGTCTGCTATACCTAGTGCAAGAGATACAATGGGAAGGTAGAAAAAATAAACAAGAGACAAAGACATGGTTCCTGTCCTCATAGAAATGTATAGCCTAATGAAGAAGGCAGAAGATGTAAACAAATAACATGCAACATGATCTCTTGGTAGAGGTATGAACAAGTTCTGTCAGAGCCTAAAAGAGTGAGGGGAAGGCTTCACATTAGCATTTTCTTTTGGATGGCTCTTAAAAGATGATTAAGTGTCCAGTGAGGCAGAAAAAAGAAAAGTGTGTAGAGCAAAAAGAAGAGCAGGATCACCTTATTCATCTCCATCTCGCTTAGCACCTAGCACAGTGTCATACCCCTAATGCAAGAGTTTAATAAATATTTGCTAACTAATAGGCTTTAATGGTTGATATAGTTCCATGGAGAAATGTAAAACCAAAGAAACTGTTATTAAGCAGATAAATTTCTGTGACCTGTGAAATCTGAAGTACTTTCATTTGATTTATTTTGGCCTACCTTCTAATTCAGCCTAAAGAAAAGGTCAAATTTACTACTTCAGCTATGACCTCTAAAAATATTAGATATCTTATTTAAATAATTTAAATATGAAAATCAAATTTTTATTTCGCAGTAAAGGTAAAAAATTGATTGGTAGGTTTTTACATTCTTAACTGTAACTTTGCTATTTGATTTTAGCAATTTCAGATGATTTCAATCAGCTACCTCTGGGAATGCTTTCTATAGGGAAAGAGGAGACCTCTAGTGGTAAGTAGGTGAATTTAACTCTAATGAATTAACAGAAACCAGTTAAAAGCAAGTTAAAAATAACCTACTGCCTGTCTGGAGCTCAGTTTGTTGGAGGGTGGTCCTGTACACCAAAAGGCTGCAGGGATGGGTATGGGAGGCAACTGATCGATGTTTCTCTCTCTCAAATCAATAAGCATATCCTTAGGTGAGGATTAAAAAACCACCCACTACTAAATTACTACTGTGATAAATAATTCAAGAATTAAAATCATTAAAAAAAAATCCTGCTATCAGAACATGGCTTAGAGCCACAAATTTGTCACTGATGTTCCTAAAAGTTGCAATTATGTTTGTGACTTAGAAAAGGCCAGACCTGTGTGTGACTCAAAAGGATACACACGAGTGTTTCTGAGTAGGTGTGATTGAGAGTTGCCATTTGCATAAAAACAATATTTGGTTTTTTTAAGTGGAAGTTCTGTTTTACATATTAAATATAATACTTCTGTGGGCTGTTAAAATGATGGCTAACTTAGTGGTCAAAAGGACTGTGAAGACAGGGTTATCAGAATTGGGGGATTGCTACCCCCAGTTACAACCTACTTCACTTCAAATAACCTATTATTGATGCCAATTTTTATTCCTGAGGCATGAAGAGTGTCGTGAAATATGATAGAGCAATTCATTAAGAACTGGAAGCAAAGGTCCCAAAAGCCATTTCTAGGCCAATACCACATGGCATTTATTGAACTAACATTTACAGGTTCTGACACAGAGGAAGATGAACACGAATTCTCAGCCGAGGAGGGTGGTGTCCTGGACACAAATGTCTCTAGCCAAAGACACCACAGAGTATATAAATGTAAGGTTAGCTCTTGATTTGAAATTACTTAATTGAAACACATTAACGTACAATCCCAGGGGAGGGTAAGCAGAAAATAATTGTAAAAAAGAGGATGTGTATTGTAAATTCTTTCAACCTGCTAAACTAAGAGGCACATGCTCAAAATCAGAGCAGTAAAAAAGTTACTATGGTCTATGAAAGTCTGATCACAGACCCTGGAAGTGTCTAATTCTGCATTCAACCTGGTAACAAATCAACTACATGCTGTGCGAACTGAAAAATAACCATCTCCACTACGTATCTATCAAAATGATTAAAATAAAAAATAGTGATACCCCCATATGCTGGTGATGAGGAGAAACTGGATTACTCAGATATTGCTGGTGGGAATGTTTAAAGGTACAGCCACTTTGGAAAAGCAGTTTGGCAGTTTCTTTCAAAACTAAATGTGTACTTGTCATATGACCCAGCATTCGGAGCTTTGGACATTTATCCCAGGGACACAAAAACAGATTCACACAAAAAAGCTGTACACTACTGTTAATAGCAATTTTATTCAAAATAGCTAAAAACTGGAAACTCAGATGTCCTTCAATGGGCAAATGGTTAAATATACTGTGGTACCATAAAATACTATTTGCCAATAAGGAATGAACCATGGATACATGCCACAGTTGGGATGGATCTAAAGGGATTACTCTGAGTGAGAAAAGCTAATTCTAAAAAGTTACATACTGTATAGTTCTGTTAAAAAAACTCGCTGAAGTGACAAAATTTTAGAAAGGGAAAACAATTGGGGAAGGGGTGCCCTGCAGTAGGAAAGTGCAGCTATAAAAGGGCAACAGAGGAGCCCTAGCCAGGTAGCTCAGTTGGTTAGAACATCATCCAGATGATACGTATGATTTATATATAGGAACGCTTGCAGGTTAGATCCCATCAGGGCACATACAAGAATTAACCAATGAATGCATAAATAGCGCTGACTGGTGTGGCTCAGTGGGTTGGGGGTTGTCCCACAAAAGAAAAGGTCCCCAGTTCACTTCCAATGACGGCACACGCCTCGGTGGCAGGCTAGGTCTCCTATTGGAGGCTTAAGATAGGCAACCAATCAATGTTTCTCTCTCACATCCATGTTTCTCTTCTTCTGTTTCTCCCCCCCCCCTTTCCCTTGCTCTAAAATAAATAAATAATCTTTTTTTAAAAAGCAAGCATAAATAAGTGGAACAATAAGTTGATATTCTTTTCCTCTCTCCTTAAAAATCAATAA